GTGTGAAATTTTAAACCATCTGGTGGAGGACTATCAGGCTATGCGGGAATCCACCACCCCACAGGAGCAGTTGGACTTCATTGCCAATGCTTGGCGCCTCAATCCCTACAGCGGTACTTATAATGAGGGGTGGCGCCAGCATCCCAATTTCTCCTGGAGTGGAAACAATAGCAACACCACCAAGCCTCCCAGATTCGCAGCACCGAGTGGTGGTTTTCGCCAGAGGCAGCAGTACCAGACCCGAAAGGGTTCATTTCAGCAGCAACAACCATTCCAGCCCAGACAGGGGCAACCTTTTCAGCCGCTACAAAGGCAATTTCTGCAGCCGGCACTAGCCCCAACTCAGGGTGACCAGATGTCTTAGCTGAAAAGTATGGTGACGGCCTTCGTGAGAACCAGTACAGAGAAGTTCACCAAGGTGGACCAGTTCATGGAATTCTTTATGGAGAAACTCAATGCATTGGAGGCAAGTCAGAGGAACCAGAGTGCTATTTTGCAGGACCTCCAGAACCATATTGGAGGGATAGTCCGGTACAACAGCACTAGGAAACCAGGAACTCTACTCACCAACACCATCGCAAATGGTCGCGAGCCTCACTAGCAGTTAGATGCCATTACTACTAGAAGTAGCAAGACGACGCTGCTATTCCTGCTCCGGTTAGGCAGGATGAACCAACACGTGCTCCAACACTTCCAGCCGAAGATGAAAAGGTGGAGATTGAGAAGGAAGCACCTGCTCCCAAACCACAACCAGTGGTTAAGGAGCATGTCCCCCAGCTTCCCTTCCCCACTCATATGCACAAGGACTAGCTGGAGCCTTAGTTTGCCAAGTTCATGGCAATGTTGAAGCAAGTCAACATTGGCATGCTGTTCGTGGAGGCACTGTCGAAGATGCCCAAGTATGCTAAATTCATGAAGGATCTCCTCACCAACAAGAAGAAACTTGGGGATCTATCGACAGTGATGTTGAGCGAGGAGTGTTTTGCAATCCTGCAAAACAAGCTGCTGAAAAGCGAAAAGACCCAGAGAGTTTTACTATCCCCATTATTATTGGCAACATGCATGTAGAAAAGTCCTTGGAGGACCTAGGCGCTAGCATTAATGTCATGCCTTATAAACTGTTTAAGAAGCTAGGCCTAGGTGAACCTAGAACCACTAGGATGAATATTCAGTTAGTTGATCGATCGATTGTGCATCCTAGGGGTATCATAGAGGACTTGCTTGTTAATGTGGGTGCATTATCATATCCTATTGATTTTGTCATCATGGACATAAATGAAGATGTGGATGTGCCTTTGATTTTGGGTATACTATTTCTCGCCACCGCCAAGGCGTTGATTGATGTTCATAGTGGCAAGTTAATTTTGCGGGCTGGGGATGAACAAGCTACATTTTCTATGTCTAACAATGCAAAGCATTTCCATATGCATGATGACTTGGATTACTTTGACATGCTTGCTGATTTTGAAACCGCACTCGCCATCACGAGTGAGGGTACTAACGATGCCCTTGAGCGTTGTATTTTGCTAGGTGAGCAGGCATCACAGGAGTTGCAGTTAGAGGAGTGGTTGGTGGCGCTAGAGCGTGGCAAGTTCCTGAAGTTTGAGAGCGGTTTAGGCTGATCTCACCCTCGACCCGTATCACCACCTCTCTAGAGGAGCCACCAGAACTGGAGCTGAAGCCCCTCCCTCCTCACTTGGAGTATGCATTTCTCCGGGAGGGGAACAAGCTTTCAGTTATCAACAGCTCGACCCTCACACCTGAGCAGAAGTCCAGACTGATGGCCCTGCTGAAGCAGTATGAGCGGGGTATGGCATGAAAGATCACCGATATCCACGGGATCAGGCCTTCCTTCTATTCCCATCAGATTTTGATGGAGGATGAGATCTGGCCGGTGTGATAGCCTCAGCGGTGATTGACACCGAACATGGAGGTCGTGGTTCGAGTGGAGATTAGCAAGTTGATGGACGCGAGAATCATCTTCGCCATTTCTGACAGCGAGTGGGTCAGTCCCACCGAGGTGGTGCCTAAGAAGGGTGGGATGACTATGGACCCAAATGAGAAGAATGAGCTAATACCGATGAGAACGGTGACGGGGTACCGCGTCTGCATTGACTATTTCCGCCTCAACAACGCCACCCAGAAGGACCATTTTCCTATACCATTCATTGATCAGATGCTCGAGCGGTTGGCAGGGCACGAGCTCTACTATTTCCTGGATGGGATGTCCGGGTATTTTCAGATTACCATAGCACCGGAAGACAAGGCGAAGACCACCTTCACCTGCCCTTTCAGCACATTTGCTTATCGGAGGATCCCATTTAGGCTTTACAACGCCCCCGCTACGTTCCAGAGGTGCATTCTCACTATCTTTGATCGTCTGGGTGGAGAAATCATGGAGGTGTTCATGGAAAACTTTTTGGTTTATGGAGACTCATTCTCTCACTGTCTTCATAACCTAGAACTCGTCTTGAAGAGGTGTGAGGAGACGAACCTGGCGCTGATTTGGGAGAAATATCACTTCATGGTTCGCGAGGGCATAGTGCTTGGGCATAAGATCTCCAAGATGGGGATCGAGGTGGACAGAGCCAAGATCGGGACGATCAGTAAGCTGCCTCCTCCCAATTTGTGAAGGGAGTTCGCAGTTTCCTGGCCATGCAGGTTTTTATCGGCGGTTCATTAAGGATTTCTCAAAGATCGCCCTTCCACTAACAAAGCTCCTTGAGAAGGATACCCCTTACATTTCACTGACGTGTGCACAACGACATTCACGACCTTGAAGGAGAAGCTCACCCATGCTCCTATCATGGTCACTCCTGATTGGACCTTGCCCTTCGAGCTGATGTGCGACGCAAGTGACTTCGCAGTTGGAGCTGTCCTGGGGCAGAGGCGTAATCAGCATTTCCGACCCATCTATTATGCATCGAAGACCCTCAATGATGCCCAGGAGAATTACACAACTACAGAGAAGGAGCTGTTAGAAAGGTATTACACAACTACTGACGGGCATCATGGCGGTAACCGCACAGTGAGAAAGGTATTGCAGTCGGGCTTTTACTAGCCCTCTCTCTTCAAGGATGCCAACGCCTTCGCATAGGTGCGACCGATGTCAGAGGTCAGGTAACATCTCCGCTCGTGATGAGATGCCCTAGAATGTGTTTATTACTTGTGAATTTTTGTTGTCAGTGGTATTAATTTCATGGGCCCATTTCCTCCATCTTTAGGTAATCTGTACATTCTTGTTGCTGTTGATTACGTCTCTAGGTGGGCTGAAGCGTAGGCTTTGCCCACCAATGATGTTAGACGTGTTTGCCAGTTTCTTAAGCAGTTGTTCTCCCAGTTCAGGATGCCTAGAGCCATCATTAGCGACAGGGGCACCCATTTTCAGGGTCAATTTGATCAGCTCCTCTCTCGCTATGGTGTCACTCACAAGGTGTCTGTAGCCTACCACCCCCAAACAAGTGGTCAGGCCGAGCTGACGAATCGGGAGTTTAAGCGCATAATTGAGAAAACGGTGGATCAATCTCGCAAGGATTGGTCCACCATCTCGATGATGCTCTTTGGGCATATCGTGCTTCCTACAAGACGCGTATCAGTACTTCCCCATATCAGCTCGTCTATGGAAAGGCATGTCATTTGCCCGTCGAGCTAGAGCACAAGGCCTTCTGGACCCTTAAGCTGCTAAACTTGGATGTGAGCCTTGCAGGTGCCGAACGCAAGATGCAAATGTTGAAGTTGGAGGAATGGCGTTACCACGCCTATGAGAACACAAAGTTGTACAAGGAGCGAATAATGCGTCTGCACGACGCTCGTTTGCGGGTCCTAAAGTAGTTTCATGTTGGCGATCGAGTACTTCTCTATAATTCTCGCCTGAAACTCTTTACTGGAAAGCTCCATTTCAGGTGGTCGGGACCGTTTACGGTCACACAGGTGCTCACGTATGGCACCATCGAGATCACCGACTCACAAACCAAGCTGTTTAAAGTAAATGGCCACCGCCTCAAGCTGTATCTGGGAGGCGAGGTCGAGCGCGAGGAGTTGGTGGTTGAACTCGCGGACCCTTAGTTCCGCTAGTTGCGTCCAGCTAAAATATTGATGGAAAACAACATTTTAGTACCTACGACTTTTTCTCTTACATTTTTTATACCTGAACTTTTAAATTTTACAAACAGGTCCACTGTTTAAGAAACTTGTGGTCTTGATTTTGTGGTTTGTGGGGAGGATTTTGTAGAGTTGATTTTATGGGGAGGATTATGTGGTTTGTGGGTGGATTTTCTCTTTTTCATTTAATTGCATACGTAAATACGCCTTCCCGTTTTCTCCAATTTTTATTAATAACCAGCGTGCCCTTCCCATTCTCGTTTATTAATTATGATCAACTTATTCAAATGGAAAGTTATTCAAACAAAATATTATTATTGATTAAAGCTAATGTTAGCAACATAAAAAAAATATATTAGCACACTAGCCCTTTCCCGTTTCTTATAGGATGATCCAACCTATCCTACCCTATAAAATCCCAGTTAAATCCAATTATGGCTAAGTTAAACCCTTAACGACTCCAACAAAATAAATAAATCAGAATATTTACAGGTAATCTCCATCCTTGGTCTTGGTCCTCTTGGATCTACTGCTGCTACTTCTCAATGGCATGCTATTCTTTCACTAATATCAATTCCACCCAGTAACAATCTTTCATTATTTTCTTCCACAAGAAATTCTAATTTTTGGAGAAACAGAAAGCTATTCAGTCATCATCAAGGTTGTCTTACTGCTGCAATCTCGTTCATGGAATAAACACGAAGATCGCGGAAGAGCCTCTAACCCCAATATTTACTTACAAAATCTATTGAAGAGATTTAGTAATCGTGATTCGAAAGTACCTCACTAACTTGATTTTCAATCATTAATAACCCAACAAAGCTATCATTTAACCTTTCAGAACATTCACTTGTCTCAAAAGAATTGTGCTACTGGTTGGTTACCAAGAGAAAATACTTTCAGCACTCAGAGCCACGATGCCCCCTTTCAGCATCACCAGCCTCAGCCGCAGTCTTCTCCCTCAAGTCACACTCATCAATGTAGTTTTGTCGAGTATAGCAGCCAAACCCCCAAACCGCCATCAGCAACGCAATCACCTTCACGCCATTCATCTTGTCCCTGAATATAATCACCGCTGAGACAGGAGACACCGCCAGAGCCACCGTGCTTATCACATTCGAGAACAGCGACGAGACCACAAAGATCAGCCCCACAACACCGACAGAACAAACCTGCCATGCCACCGCCGTCCAAACCAGCGTCTGCACATAAGACGCACCCCCTTTGCCATATCCTATCATCTCCCCATGCAACGTCCTCCACTCCCCGCTAGCAAAAAGACCCACAGTTGAAACGCACGTGGCCACGAGGGATGTGTAGATCTGCATCTCCAACACGGCGGCAAATGTCTCCTTTCTTATGACCTTCTGGAAGGAAAGCTGCATGAGGGAGAGGATAAGCGAGTAGAGCGCTGAAGCACCTAACGTGCAGAGGAAACCCAATGCGTATTTCCACTTGGATTGGGCTGAGGGTTCGTCGGAGCCCTCATTTGCCGCTATGAGGGCAGCAGAGAATGAGAGCATGGCTACAGAGTTGAGGATTAAGGACGTGAATTTCTGGGAGTTGAGGAAGTAGGAGAAGACTGCGTTGAATGCTAACTGGGAAGCACAGATTAAGGAGTAGGTGGAGGCAGAGAGGTAGAGTAGGCCGATTGAATACAGCATGTTGTCCCCAGCTATGACTACCCCAAGGACGAGGTAGATGGAGGCGAGAATTGTGAGGGAAGGTGATGAGGAGGAGGAAGAAGATGGAGACTCATCCTTGGAGGAAGGAAGTAGGAAGAAGGGGATGTAGAGGATTGGGAAGGCAGCAGTCTGAACAAGGGTTGCCATCCATTTGCTATTCCCGCCTTGGTCATAGTAAAACCTGCCGAGGAGGACAGCAGCGCACTGGCCCAGAATGAGGAAGGCGATGTTAACTGATACTAGAAGCCACCACTGCCAGCGCTTGAGTTTAAGGAACGGCTTCTGCTCAACATTGCCACGTTTGGCCAGGATAGGTTCCTGGTTATCTGCACATAGAGACTAAAGCTAAGGGACGATTGAATACAGTTCAGAAAGGAGAAATGGAATACATACATATATATGTGTGTTGGTTTCTACCACAGCCGAAATTTGTGCAGGCAACAACTTTTAAAAGCGCAGAGAAATCATTTGACAAGGGGAAGTTTGATGATCCCACTAAGTCATGCAATCGAGCAAGACAAGCCAAATTAGAAGTGGGAGGAAGTGTTGAAGCAGAGTGGGGTAAGTGAGGTTTTACTAAAGCTGACAACTTGCAGATGGCGAAAATTGATGGTCCAGCAATTGAGATTCCCTCTACAAACCCCCACCACAAAATGATAGATACACACAGCCAGCAAGAGTAATTGTGTTCAGGCAGGGAACAAGCTTGCTTATCCATACCATTTTCCATAACAGCAGCTTCTTTAACAGCACCCCAAAAATGTACATATATTTATGCAACAACCCTTTTCTAGCAGTGAAAAGGGCGTCCAAATTTGAAGCCAAAACCGCAGACTCCTCTGTGCAATTGAATTGAGGATGTGGAATCATGTGTTGACGCAAAAAAAAAAAAAATGAAACAAAAAACTGCAACTAAGTAACAAATTAATAAACTGGAGAGGCAGCGATTCATCAATCTGATAGGTCTTAGGTGGAGCGGGGGAGATTAGGTAGCGGCAACGGGCGGGGAGGAAAGGAGAGACAAAAGGGTCAGTGTACCTGTCATGTTTGGTGCGGCCGGATGGATGGATGATCGGAGCCGGAAATGAAGAGCTGTGAAAGGAAGATTCTCCGGGGTACAAACACCGCAGCAACGACGAAGAAGCGGGGTGGAGGTGGACGGCGACTCCTACTCCGACTTGTGCTCTTGTTGACAATAATAATTATTATTATATATATTATCAGAAAAGAGGAGTAGTGGGGGCTGGGCCGGGTTTCAGCTTTCACGGTCACGGGGGCTCGCAACTGCAACCGAATGAATGACGCGGGACTCGGGAGGGCAGTTGAGGAATCCGATCCGATCCCCCACCTCAATCCCACGCAACCAAGATCTCTCCCCCTCCATTTTCATGACTAATGAGTCGGAGACCATCGTTTTCCATCCGTTGTCTGGTTTCGGTGCGCTCGCTCCCATCAAGTATCAACACTCCACAATCCAGATCCTCTATCTGAGTGACCAATGAAAATAATACTATGCGTTTTTATCCCATTTATTACTTTTTACAGTTTGGAAATGTTAGTAATGGGGATGATCACTCACCTATTCTTTGCTGATGACAGCATCATCTTTTTTTAAAATAAGGAGAAGGGGAAGCCATCAGAGATTTACTCAGAACTTGAACTAGCTTCGGGTCAGCAAGTCAGCTTAGCAAAATCCGAGCTTTCTTTTAGTACAAATGTGCTGGAAAGGGATAGAGTGGAATTGGGTGGAATTCTTGGTATGAGAAGGGTTATGTATCATGACAAGTATCTTGGACTTCCTTGCACAGCTAATTGATCGAGTAAGAGACAAGATAAAAAATGTGGAAAGGGAAACTACTCTCAATGGCAGCAAAGGAAGTGCTCATCAAAGTTGTGGCACAGGCTCAGACCCTTTATGCCATGTCTGTGTTCCAGATTCCCCAAGGAGTGATTCAAGAGATTCAAAAAATGATTGCCAGCTTCTGGTGGGGCAGAAAAAGAGAAGAAAGAATGATCCATTGGATGAGTTGGGAAAAGTTATGTCGACCCAAATATGAGGGAGGGATGGGATTTAGAGACCTACATGGGTTCAACATTGCACTACTACGCAGGCAGCTTTGGAACTTGATAAAAAAAACCTGATTCCCTAGTGGCAAAAGTCCTAAAGGCACGTTACTACCCTCATTGTGACGTTCTTGAAGCTGAAATGGGAGGGAATCCAAGTTATATCTGGAGGAGGCTCATGCAGGCTCAATCCCTAGTGAGAGATGGTACAAGATGGAGAGTGGGAAATAGAGAGAACATTCGCATCTGGTGGGATCGTTGGATTCCAGAAGCAAAAAATTTCAAGATCCAGTCTCAAGCTACAGGGTTAGGTATCACTGAGAAGGCTTCAAGTCTGATTGATTGGGGAACTTGTTCACGGAAAAGCAACTTACTGCAATCCTATTTCCAACCAAGTGACAGGGCCCGAATTGAACAGATTCCAATCCCTTCTCAACCGAGACCTGATATTCTAATTTGGGGAAGAGACATGACTGGCAAATACTCAGTCAGGTCAGGGTATAAGGAATGGCGCAGGAAATTAGCCTCCAACCAAATTGAAAACTATGTCCCTATAGATTGGAAGAGAATTTGGATGTTGGAACTACCACCTAAAGTTCGAATATTTGTATGGAGATGGGGTAGCAACATTCTACCAACAGGGGTAAACCTGAGTCGGAGAATCAAGGATGCTAATGATGAATGTCCATTTTGTAGAATGTTGGAAACCCAAGAACACATCACCAGGGAATGTGACTGGGCAGGAAGGGTGTGGAGACCTTGTGAAGTAGCAAATCTCTTCAAAATGGGTGAAGGAAAGAACTATGAAACGTGGCTGTGTGATCTAATTGAGGGTGGCAGCACAGAATATCTACTACAGGTACTAATGACACTCTGGTTCTTATGGAAGGAGCGAAACAACCATCTATTCAATAATCCTAAGCTAGACGAGTGGGAAATCGTGAGCAAAGCTCTGAATTACCTGGAAGAGTATAAAGCCCAGCAAAGCCAGGGAGGCTAAGAAACTCTGCCATCACGCCCACGAGCTCAATCCAAATGGGAACCCCCTCCTGATGGTCTCCTAAAACTCAACACAGATGCAGCGATCCTGGGAGAAGAGGGAACGGGTTATGGAATGATTGTAAGAGACAGCTTTGAAAACTTCCTGATGGGAGCGACTTACCGAACGAGAAGGCGATGGCCGATCGAGATGGCGGAAGCCCATGCGATGCTGTGGGGATTGAAATTGACCCGAGCGCACTACTCCCAGCCTCTGCTCTTGGAATCAGATTGCCAGTCGGTGATTCACAAACTCAATCGAAGGGAGGCAACGGAGATGGAGGTGGGGATGATCCGCGACGAGATTTGAGAATTTGCGACTGGAGGTGGGAATGTTGAATGGAGATTTTGGAAACGAGAAGGAAATGCATGTGCCCACGAAATGGCTCGACTGAAGTGTAGGGTAGATGAGACAGAGATATGGTTTTCCAGGCCACCTGTCATTTTAGTCCCTTTAATTTTGCAAGAAAGCAATGTAGTCCCTGAACTTTGATTTTTTGGGAATACAGATGAATTTGTAAAAAAAAAAAAAGTTAAAACTAGCTTATAACTTGACCTGTTGACCGGAATTTTCATATTTGATTATTTATATCATATGTTATATTTAAGTCTATCAACCTATTTATTTATTTATTTATTACAATCTTTCGATCGAGATGATACATAAAGAAAGAATATATAGGTCGAACACTCGAAGAAATACCATCATCATTTAAGAGTATAAAATATAAAAATGTATCATTGATTTCATTTTCATAATGATAATATTATATTAGTTAGCTGATTGTCAAGAAAGATAGGATATAAAAACTCACTGGAATTACCACACGATCCATATATAGTTTGAAACTGAATCTGAAACCTTACAATCCTACATAAAGGGTTCAACGCTCTCCTTTTAGAAACAACTAGATTTGGACCCGCCCGTTGGACGGCTACATTTTATCAATGGAAATTATTCGAACCAATATATATTTTTATTAGGTACGATAAAGGAATCCACCTACATTATAGAGTTTTCTGACATATTAAATGATTCATCGACGTAAAGTTGAGATTAAAACTAAAATAATACCAAGAAATTAAATCCAAATTAAAAAACTTATCTAACCAGACCATCAATATTCTCTTCCTTATTGTCAACATTCAAAGTGTCATTAATCATAGTAATCCACACTTTTGGTGAAAAATAACTTTCATCTTCCCTACATCATAGAGGGTATAAATGTACATAAAATTGCCAAGCATCATTGTATTGCTAATTGGTTGATTCTCTGCATATGATATTTCTTAAATTCATAGAACTATATGTTGGTCCGATCAATTATGTTTATGTAAAATTAACTTATCCTTGTACCTTATTATTTTCCGTATCTAAAATGGTTTGTGTTGTGGTAACATCCTACTATTAATTATTCATAGTCTTTTGACTTTGAGTATACTCTTGATGTAGGTTTATGGAAAATTGGCATATTATAGACTCATTTCTCTATAAAAATACTCAACAATTCATCAATGATTTTTATCATTGTCATAACTATATATATTTATAAGTTATGATGATTAATCAATAATTATTGATTGTCTGTTATGCCTATCATATAAAAATTTCCTTCATATATCATACCCACTTATTATTGTTCAATTATTTAATCTTCTTTCGTTTCCAGAACTGAGGTTTGTAAATTCTCAATGTAAGACTTTATGCCTCGATTTATAACTCATGATACTCAAATTTATTATCTTATACAATGTGAAGTAACTTTTAACTAATGCCGAAATTTTTGAACTCTCGATTTGTCAACCATTATACTCAAATTTATTATCTTATATAATATGAAGTAACTTTCAACCAATGCCTCAATTTGTTAACTCTCTAAGACATTATACCCTTGATTTGTAAACCATGATACTCAAAATTATTATCTTATAGACTTATACAATATGAAGCAACTTCCAACCAACGCCTCAATTTATTAACCGATGCTCTTAAAAATTAGGAGTAACTTTCAACCAATGCTTATTCACCATTGACTTAGTATATCATAGGATTTCTTAGTGAAGATGCTTGATCTTTGGATTAATTTTGTATAAATTTGATTTATATATTTATGATTAAATTTTTTAAAGTTAAAACTTTCTTACTAATATAAGTGATCGATAGGGTGCATCTACAACACATTGTGAGCATATGAAACGTTGTATCACTTGAATAGTATATTTATTATTTTAAACAAATTAATATGTAAATTAAATCTACAAATTATTAGAAATATTGTAATATGTTTTATGACCTAATAGTGAAAGTGTTAATAATTAAAATGAAAGAATTGTTCTTTCTGAAAACATAAATCTACTCACGGACAGAATTTATTTTTTAATAATTTCCTGCCCGATTTGTCTTCTGATCAATATCTTTGTTTGGAGGCTTAGCTAATTATTAAGAATTTAGAGGATGGTGAGGATGTTGTTTTTTTTCCTATTAATTATTTCATTTTTAATAATTAAATTTACAAAACTAACCTTCCTACAAACGCTCAGAAAGCTAGAAATTCTAAATGAAAGAGATTCTGAGTGATAGCTGCAAAAATCATAAACCTAAAGAGCCAATAGCCACCACTCTTTGTTGAACGACCAAATTTTTATCCACTCAATCTACAATCTCAGGAGGCATATGTCTTAACCAAACATTCACTTTTTAATTCTCCTTCTACAACTCCATTTCTGCTACTTGGATGGACCTTCTCTCCGTGGCCCACAATTTCTCTTCCAATTGGGGGTTCTTGTCAACTCGCTCTTCAACTCCTCAATCTTCTTCTTGTGTTTTGTCAACTCATCTTCCTCATGGACAGTTGTAATAAGTTCACTAAAACCAACACTCATCTCCAATTCCATCAATATGTTCATCTCCCCCTTGTCTGCCTTCGCCTGCTTCAGTCCACT